GCTATTATAAGCGTTTTTGGACTTGTCTTTTCCACTTAATTTAACACTTTAGAAAGTTAATAAAGTAGGAAGTTGCAGTTTAGATTCAGCGATATCTTTAGCTTATCTTATTTGCAAAAGATTGGAAATAATTTCGGTTTATTTTTAGTTTTTTTGTTTGTTTTTAGTATCAATATCTGGCAACACTGCATCGCCGGTACTTAAACTGAAAGCAATCAAAAAAGCCCATGGACAGGTTTTTGCTGACAGGATACGACATTCGGTAAGGAAAAAGCAAAAATTATCATGATGATATTATCTGTCATAAACGTTATCAACGCTGTCAAAAGCAGTAGCATTTAACACTAGTACACACAGATCTGTAGAACAAGTAGGTTACAGAATGAAATGAAATACGCAAAAACCATGAAGAAGTCTATGCCATGCAGGGCCGCTGCTGGTCAAATGGGTGCCCTAAGCAGGATTGTATTGTTGTGCCCCCTCCCTCAAATATTATGGAAGTAAAAAAAACACCTACAATAGGGGTCAAAATAATAAAATATAAAAGTAAATAAATAAATCCTAATTCAATTGTATTATTTACAAATTACAATTGAAGCTCTAGACAGTTACGGCTATGATTTTATTAATACAGTTGTCCGATTGATTTTATAGTCTCAAGCATTCAGAAATCACGCAAAAGAAAATGAAGCAGTTTTACGATAAAACCATGGTTAATTTTTGTAAGGGTTGTGATGTCCACGTTTTTTTTTTTTGTGTTCTGTGATGTGACTGTTGTTCGGCACCCTGTTTAGTTTTCAGGGCCGCTGCTGGTCAAATGGGTGCCCTAAGCAGGATTGTATTGTTGTGCCCCCCTCCAAATATTATGGAAGTAAAAAAAAAAAAACTACTATGGGGTGAAAATAGAACTTTAATAAAATATAAAAGTAAATAAATTGTATTATTTACAAATTACAAATCTAGAAAGTTACCTATAGCTATGATTTTATTAATACAGTTGTCTGATTGATTTTATAGTCTCAAGCATTCAGAAATCTGGGATGTGCCCCCCCGGGAGTTGCTGCCCTACGCAAACTGTGTACTCTGCATATAGGGAGCGGCGGTACTGCCATGTCATTCAGTATAGTTAAATTTTCACAAATCATGCTATAAACTTTATTAAGAGCACTAGACAAAGTTATTGTAGTTATGTATTGTTGCAATAAACAACTGATAAAAGTCCCCCCCCCGGACCTCACTAATTTTCAAAGCCTGGGTACGGCCATGGTGTTGACCACTTGTGATCAGGTTTTTTCTGTCATTTATGGAACAATGTGGACTGATGTGGATGACTAATCGAAAAACAAATGGTTTGACCTCTGTTTTGCAGGGTACAAGTAATCCCATGTTCCTCAGCAGTGTGGCTTTCTTCCAAGACTCCCACATTAACCAGCACACACAGGTCAAGCTCTCTGTGTACGATGTAAAAGATCGCTCACAAGGAACGGTGAGATACACACCATGCACAACAAATGAGAAGAACAGCTCTGATTCTGCTATTTTGTCTTTATCTTTTAGTTATTTTATTTTATTTTTCTCACTTTTTAGATGTACCTTCTTGGCTCAGCGATGTTTCCAGTGAAGGATCTTCTGCTAGAAAAGAACCATAGACTAAACTTACCTCTCAGGTGATCCACCAGTCTTGACAGTTCCTAGATGGGTGTCTAGAAGTGGTTTATGCTGAAAAGGTTGCAGTCATATGCAGTTTGAGCATATTGACATCTGTTATTCCTATTCCTCAGGTCAGCAGAAAACAAGCATGTGGGTAGTATTACAGTCATTGCCTGGCAGCTAGAGGAGAAGAGAGATCAGCATACACCTATCAAACAACTACAAGACACCATCAATGGCAGGGTGAGCCTACCTATGCCCCAGTGACCCAACTAACGGCATGTTTGTTCACTACTTTTTACTCATTCTGACATGTTTTTGTTCTACCGTGTGCCATTGCTGCAGACTGTCCTCTCCGTGGATGAGAGTCTGACAGAATCTGTGGGAGTCCGAGCGAAATACGCCTCTCTGTGGAAAGACTCTTTTCTTCGATCTGGTAAGAATGTCAGCCTCTAGAAGAATGGCTTATTTTTCACACCCTAAGACTTATACATTGTGATGGAAATGTTGTGTATGGCCAAATGTGTGTGGCATGGAACCGTTTCATTGATTTCATGCTCTAAACACGTCATTTTGGTTTCAGTTAGGACCCCATGCTTCACGGGAGTATTGAGGAGCATTATAAGTGCTCTTTGCATTGGAAAAAAATATCTGTTTGTTCAGTGGACATTGGGTTTTCAATCACTATATTTCTGTACTACCTGAAAACACCTACTCTATATGATGATTGGATGAGTTCTCAAATGGCTGGGACTCAGCAACAAATGGCTAAAATTTGAAATTTAGGCACAAGTTAAAAATATATAAATGTATTTGCGTTACATAACAAAATGTTAAAGGGGTCATATGATGCGATTTAAATTTTTCCTTTCTCTTTGGAGTGTTACAAGCTCTTGGTGCATAAAGAAGATCTGTAAAGTTGCAAAGACTGAAGTCTCAAATCCAAAGAGATATTCTTTATAAAAGTTAAGAGTCAGCCACGCCTACCTAAAACGGCTCGTTCTAACACACCTCCACATGTCTACGTCACGATGTGGGAAGATTTGCATAACACCGCCCAAATGTCCACGCAAAGAAAGAAGGCGTAACTTTTATTCTCGCTGTAGTATTGTTGCCGCCACCGCCATGTCGTGAAGGCACTGTGTGATTCGTTGTGAAAGCGAAACTACTTTGTTTGGCCTTCCAAAAATGGACACGACTAGAAATCAGTGGTTAAGTTGTATTTACATAATAATAATGGAAAATAATGTTTTTTTAACCTTAAACCGCATAAACACATTTCATTACACCAAATACACAAAATAATGTTATTTTTAGCAACATCATATGACCCCTTTAAAACAAGTGGCATTTTCAAAATGTATAGTACACTTTTTTTAATCAAAACATTTGGCAAAATTATTTATTTTTTTTGTAAAAACAGATATATTGTAAAATATGAAAATAAAAATAACTGTTTTCTGTTTTAATACATTTAAATGTTTTATTTATTCCTTTGATGGCAAATCTAAATTTTCAGCAGCTATTACTCCAGTCTTTAACATTACATGATCTTTCAGAAATAATTTTAATATGCTGATTTAGTGCTCAGGGAACATTTATTGTTAAATATAATGTTTAAATATAAATAAAATGTTTAAAACTGCAAAAAAATTGTAGAAACATACATACATGCATGCATACATACATGCTTTCTTGCTTACTTTTTTGTAATTTTGTACCATTGTTAAAACCTTTACTGTCACTTTTGACCAATTGAATGTATACTTGTTGAATAAAAGTATTTCCAAAAAAAAAACAATTACATATGTTGTGAGTAACAGCTGTCCAGAATGTGCTCAGAGATACAAATACAGTTAAAAGTCTGTTTTGACTCATAAGCCATTTTATTTTTTTGTGTATTAAAAAAAAAGAAAGAAAGCAAATTATATTTAAATCTACATTTAATATACACCTTTTTTGTAGTAGTTTGAGCTTAATGTCTCCTTGGAAAATATTGACAGAAACATGGCTGGTACTAAGAATAACTAATGATAATTATGTTTTATTGTTGTAATAGTGCTTTTCCCAAGCTCATTGGCACTTAGTTCCATTTTTATTGACAGAAGTGAAATCCAGGACCTGGTAATAATATTATAAATGCACGCAAATACAGTTTTAATGCTTCAGCCTGGCACAATTGATTTCTCTTTATGGTTTAATTCTATTTCTGTGTCTCAGTGTTTGGTGGCACCATGTCACGTATGTACCGTTTTCCAACCACTGATGGGAATCATTTACGGATCCTGGAACAGATGGCTGAGAGCGTCCTGTCACTTAACATCCCACGACAGTTCGTCAAACTCTTACTGGAAGAGGATTCCTCGAGGTGTTTATCATAATCTCAGACATATACACAGTTGCATGCACACTATGACCATTTTAGTGGCATGAATATATACAGAGAGAGTTCCTTTACATGATTGTGTTGATGTTCGTAGAGTATCTGAGCTGGAGGAGTTAGGGGAGTTATCACCGTGTTGGGAGAATCTCAGACGGCAAATTGTGACGCAGTACCAGAGCATCCTTCAGACCTATCAGGATACACACACAGACCTGCAAGACTACAAAGGTCAGTCTGCATTTGGAGGTTGCAAGAGGTGTTACACACTTCATTTCAGAACTTTCAGATGTTTTGTACTTCTTGTACTTGTGTAAGATGTGCAAAAAGAACACATGATCATAGAGTAGGATCCAAAGATGTGAGGTAACACTGATAGTGTTGGATTCAAAATATAATTTAAAATTTGGAAATAAGATAGCATTTGAACATTTAAAAAATGACAGAAAATGAAGAAAAGTTTCTTCGTTATTTCTAGGTCACTAATCAAATAATTCTTAAATCATAACATGAAATTGGTCATCAGGACTTACGCTTGTGGAATTCATGAAGGCCATGCCAGCTAAAATGCATGAAGTCATTATATTTACATGCATGCATTTATATTGAAATCACTTACATGAGGCAAAAAAACTGAGCAAAAAGTTGCAATTTGGTGCAGTTGCTGATATTAATATGGCCAAAAAATAAGAAATTCTGATAGCTTGTAGATCAATGTACTATACTATCAGTGTAGCAAATTACTTATATCAAATGCATATAAATATAATTCTCACTATTTGTCCCAATTAAATGTTTTAGTAAGATAATAAATGTTCGGTTTTTAATGAGCTCTGTAGTATTCATTGTGGGGGCAAAACATATAATGCAATGCAATACATTGAAACAGCCTGATGTATCATATTTGTTACATGCATTTTTGGGATAAACAAGTTGCTTCAGTCAAAGTTGCTTCAGTCAAGTGTTCATTTTGAAATATTACAAACTAGTTATTATTACGTTTACTTGATAAAAGTAAAAAAGCAGACTTGTTCACAGCAAAAAGACTTGTGTACCATGACATGAAGGCTAGACATTTTGATGATTCTTTTAACTTCCTAAAATGTATAAATTATTAATTAGACAACAGAAGGCATGCATTAGATACAACACGTTTTTCAGCAAAGTTTTAAACGTTGATAATTTAGAGGGTTTTTTATTTTTATTTGCATGTCAAATATGATAATAAGAGTTGACTTTATAGGGTTAAACTGGTAGAAAACTCTTTCAGATGACCCAGAATTCTTTGAAAGATTCTCCAGTGACCTGAAAGTCTAAGAATAGTAGACATGTCTACCCTGTTTGAATGATAAAGGGGTGTCAAGAGATTTCTTTCTCTCTCTATCTCTCTGTCTTACAGGTCCATCATTTAAAGCCAGTAATCTGAAAGCAGAGAGGAAATTGGAATTTATGCCTACCAATCTTCATGTGCAGAGAATGAGGGCTCAGGATGAGTCTGGCTGCGGTTAGATATATTTAATTCATTCTGTGTTATTATTTCATTAGTCATCCTCTTCCCCTTTTCATTATTTCCCTCTGTTTGAAAGGGTTTTGTCACTGCTCTATATTCTTGTTGGGCACTTTGGTGTATGTGCTCTTTACTGATTCAATCCCAGCAGGCAGTAGGAGGTGTTATTCAGAGCACTTAGCACATGTAAATAGTCGCTCATACAGAAGTTTTCATGCACTCAGCACAAACACACACTCAGACGATCACTGATGTTCTTTTAGTTTTGACCCCTCCAGTCTTGCAATTACACTTCTCAAACTATAGTGCTACATGAGAGACATTTCTGCTGCTGCACATATAACATATATGAAACAATCCCCATATATAACATACATGGCATTTCCCTGTAGCAGATCTATACAGGTGGAGCTGGGGAAGGTGGAGGGTTTCTGAAACGAGTTGAAACTGCTACAGCAAGCACTAGCCAAGTATTTGAATGTTGACAAAGTCCCTTTCAAGGAAAGTCTTTCACTCTGCGGTAGGCTTGCCGCGATAGATGGTGCTGACGGTGATACCGTTGTTAAGCCGCAACACCGGTTATGTCACTTGCCCACCG